TTACTTCTATATATAGAATAGATTCTGCATAAATCTCAAAAAGTCGAAATATCTCAAAAATCCAAAATCAATTTTGAAAACATATATAGTTCTAGTACATTATACACTATATAAATGTTAGTGCCATTCTTAGAATGCTATAAAATGGTGTTTGTATAGTGTTGTAAACCATTTTTATTTAATTTCTAATGAATAAACTACCATTGAGTAACTAAGAGAAATTATTTTCCAGGTATAGAAATGCTTGAATTTAAATTTTCACTCATATATAATTCATGTGATCTAAATTATAATTTTTTTTTTAATGACAAATTTTTAGTCTTATTAGTTGGAGATTTGGCTCAATTATCTCCAGTCAAAGATTTTCAAGTATTTTATTCACTAGTATGGAAAAACTTTTTCCAATTTTTCTTACAACTACTTATAGGTACAAGATGATACTGAATTCTTAAATGTACTTCAAGAAATAAGAGCTGGCAATCTTAGTCAATCATTAATTAATCTAATTAACTCAAAAATATCTGTATCTCAAAATAATCCATTAATGACAACACATATTGTGAGACATTGTAAAACTGCAGATACCATAAATAATTATATTGTGAATTTTTACCATTACAAAATGAAAATTTTACACCATTAATTTCTTATTCTACTGAATGGACAAGAATGGACATCTGATGATGATGATAAATTATTTAGAAGATATACAAATTTTCCATCAATAATAACTTTAATACCAGGAACTAGAGTTATGTTTTACATAATCATTTATTTTCTAATGGTTTATGTAATGAATCAATTGGAGTTGTACTGGAAATTCTTGATGAAGAAAATATAATAGTTGCATTTCCATTAACACAAGGAATTTCTTGTGTAAAAGTCATTAAAGAAACAGTTTATTTTTAATATTTATGGATCACCAGCACAACATGACAAAATGCATTTGCTTTGACTGTACATAAAACACAAGGATTGACATTACCTTATTCAACAGTTTCAATTGATGAATCCATGTTTGCTTCTGGTCAAGCAGATGTTACTTTGAGTCATTTACCATCATGGGAATCATTAAACATTACATCATTTGATTTATCTGCAATTAAAGTTGATGAACAAATGTTAGTTAATATACAAGATTGAAAGATATCTTTGATAAAGGAATTTATGAATATAGGCAAAGAATTAGTGAAATTCAAGAATAATAATTTTAAATTTGAATTAATATCAAATCATTTATTTATTATTTATATTTATTACAAAATATAAATCATTTATTATAATTCAGTATTGTAATAAATTTAGCAAATATTCAAAATATAAGTAAAAATTGAATTAGTAAATAAGTCCAAATAACATATGTTATATGGAAATATTTAGTTCAGAATTCTGTTTTCGCGGTGCGGTTAACTCACGAATCACTAATTAATTATAAATTATATTAAATGCATATAAGTATTTAACATATATTAAACTATGATAAAATATGTTGGTGGTTTTTTAATGAAATAAAAATATATGTATTTATATATAAATTTGGATTTCTATTATATGATCCGTTAAATTCATTTGCATTTTGCGTAAAATAAAATAAATACTATTAAAGTGCAATTAGTTAGATATTATTAAAGATCAATATGCTGCAGATTCGTTGTGTTAAGTGAAGAAAACGTGAAGAACACAAAAAGGATATAGGGTGGGTTAATGAATAAAAATAAAATAAAATCAAAAACAGAATAATTTAAAATTGTCATTCGTTGGTTTTCTTTCGAATCGATAATTACTATCTAATACATTGTCTAATATATTGTACACTTTTATTTATTTCTAATATAATTTAAGCAGCCAGTTATTCGCCTTGCAACAAAAAAAAAATTTGTGTGAAATTCATTGCGCGATTGATTCAATACATCTTTAAGGATAGTTTATTTAACTTAAAGACAGGCCTGCATGTCGCGACAAAACAAAGTTATATTTGTATTTATCTGTTCTTTATTTTAACTTGGAAGTCACCCTTATAAGATCCAATATTTCATCTGACGATCTGGTTTTGAAACATTATGACAGAATTTATTTTACCTTTAAATGATTTCAATATGGTGAAATCCAATATAAATTTTCAGCAAAACAAACTTCAACGCACATCTACAAGCGATTTATACCACCAGCAAACTTAATTTTTCAATGCCTATCCTGTAATAAATGATTAAAAAAGAACATCATTAAATTTTTAATTAGTACACTAATTTCGATTGAATTTGAATGTATGTTATTTTTTTACCGTTATATCACAGATACTTTCCACATTTTTTTTTATTTACATAATGATGTTGACATCGATTTTATTATCGATTTTTTATTATTGATTTTAATTATTGATCATTTATCGTTCGCCGTCACAGATTATCTATATTATAAAAATTGTCTAGAAATTAATCATAAAAATTTCATATAAACAATAACACCAAAACGCGGTTAATTTCAAACAAACAACAACAACGACAACAATAAATAAATAAATAAAAATTATAACCAAAAACGAATATAAATAGGATCACTTTTTTTTCTACTTTCATTTTTCTTAACTTTAATAAATAATAAATAATAAATGATAATAATCGCTATTACATAATGAAATGATTTTGATTTAAATTAAATACCTTTTAATTCTTTTAATTAATATAATAAATATAATAAATTCCATTTAAAACCGAAATAGACGAAACAAAAGAAAGCAATTATAGCAATTATAGATAATTAATTTTCCACGGAAAACAAAAAAAAATGCATCACATTCTTCTCTTTTTTATTTTTATTATTACTCTAAAGAAAGACTATATCTTAAAAGAGAAAGAAATCGGATATTGAACTATATGAATAGGTTCCAAAGCGCTTTCTCTTGAGAATCCTTGCAAGATCTAAGGAAAAAACCATATATAATTTGATAATGTCGGCATTTGACACGAAGCCCATTATTATTCCATTATTATTATTTTTACTCTTTAAATATCGCGTTTATTTAGCAAAAACACATATTTACTCTTGTATAAACAATATTTAATCTTATGATACATAATTCATTTTTATTTTTTACAACAATAATATCATCATTTTATATTTTCATAATATTATATATACATAGTTTTGATCTTTATTACAAGAAGTAATCCTTTAATTCAAAAATAAATGTATTAGATATTTCAATATGAACCATTTATCTAGTAATTGTCCACATAAGGAACAATCCCAATACCCTTTAAAAAAAGAGTTTATATATTCAAATTATAATAAATAATGCTCATTTTTATTTAAATAATAGTTAATAAGATTACATTAACTTTATCTTGATAACCTTTCCATATTTAACTTTATCTTAATTTGGTTTACAAAATCATCATATTTACACTATTCTTCAACTTATTACTCCCTTCCCTATTCTATTCAATTCAATTCTTATTCTTCACACACGAGGGAAAAAAAAGAACAGAATAGAGCTCAAAAAAAAAATTAGACAAATAAACAAAACCTGCATTTCGGTGGGAAAATTTAAAAACTCTTAGTCTTATTAAAATTATATTTATTACAACCGAACAAAATCCTGATTCTTATTTATTTTTTAAAAGATCCAATTTAGATAATTTAATAATTCAAAACAAAACCATCCCAGGATCAACTTTTAACCTTTTCAGAATCATGTCATGATTATTTGTTTTCCTATTATTAAAATCATTATGAGAATAATATATAAAAAAATTGTAATTTTTTTAATTAATTTTCAAAGAAAAGTTGTCTTTTTATATTTCATTCTCTCCAAATAAATAAATATATATATTTTTTTACAAATTATCAATTGAATATATGGGAATCTTCCATATATTGCATATTATTTTTTTAATAATATTTTTAAGAGACCCATTGGTTGGGCTACCTTTCTAAAATTTTTAGTTTATGATAAGAAATTCTAATGGTTAAATTGATGGATAATAATGAAACATTGTAATATATAACAATGAATGATTGATCAAACACCTCAAACCAGACCAGAAATAGAATGATACCTTATTTTCTCATATTATTTAGGGTAAAAATTTATAAATTCCAACATACCTATCAACTCTAGTGTTAGTTTAATTTAGTGAGGCGGTAATTATATGGCATTTAAAAGTATTTTGATTATAAGCTTAAAAAGTATTTTTATTATCAGAACTTACATTGGGTTGGGACCATTAAGGAATATTTTAATATAAATTATTCAAGTAAAGCTTTTTTTATTGATAATTTATTGGAGAATCCTTCAATAGAATTATTCAAGGAAAATCAGTCATTAGAAATAAAAATAGAAGAAAATATTATTGTAAATGTCGATATATAAAATGTATAGAAATATTTTTTAATAAAAAAGAATTCAGATGTACACTCCCCTGCCAAAAGTATCCGACCACCTAAAAATTTGTATTTTTTAAGTAAATTTTTATTTGCTAATAACTCATGATCTAATTTATTAAATTGGGTCAATTTTTTTTTGTTTTATTCCCTGATTCTGGCCTTTCATATAATAACTTTTATGTTGAAATTAGATGGATATTTTGTTGAAAAAATTTAACTTAAAGAAAACTTTTCAAAATTTGAATTTTAAAACTATAACTTTATAATTATTCGATTTTGATAAGTATTGATCGTAACTATAAAGAATCTTATAGAAATTTGTAGCAAAAATATAAGCTACAACTTTAATTAGAAGCATATTTGATAGTAACTAGTGAAAATTTTGACTTTACTTAGATTGAACTAAATTTATTTATTCATTTATTTATTTAGCAGACCGGCACGATCTCATACAGTTTCCTTTAAGTATTATAAAGAATATGATGAAATTGCATTAGCTAATCTAACGATACAATTTAACTTACCACTGTACTTAGACTGAACTAAAAACGGCTGAAATTATACTTGAGATTAACAAATAATTGCTGAAGTTATCATATATAAAACATAGCTATTTACTAATGAAAGATCAAATATGGTACTAAGTAAACATAAAGATAATTATATTTTGCATCTACTGTAAAAATTTTAGGCCTATATAATAAAAATTGAAGGAATGATTAGCGTCTAAGATAAAATAAATAATCATTAATTATTCCATTAATTCAAAAGATATTTGTCTAAGATTTTTACAGTAAATGTAAAATTATATTCTCTTTAAAGTTTATTAGTAACGTTTATAATATTTACTTGTAAAATATGAAGTTTTATTCATAAAAACGATTGTAATTTTTACTTCAATTTTAGAGTGATCGACAATACGTTTAATTTTACAATGACGATCACTTTAGAATCGAAGTGAAAATTACAATCGTTTTTATGAATAAAACTTCAAATTTTACAAGTAAGTATTATAAACGTTACTAATTAACTTTAAAGGGCATATTATTTTGCATTTACTGTAAAATTTTCAAGCCAATATCTTCGGAAATAATGAAATAATTGATAATTATTTATTTTAGTTTAGTCATCAATCATTCCTTTAATTTTTATGACACAGATCTGAAATTTTTACAGTATATACACAATATTATTATCTTTAAGTTTACTTAGTACTATATTTGACATTTTATTAGTATATAATTATATTTTATATATGGT